TAAATTAATAATAGATACAAATAATAATAATATTTCATTCCGAAAAAATTAAATTATTCTAAATATTAAATTTAATTAAATGTTTTTTTCTTAAAGTATTCTTAAAATTTTTAATAATAAAATTTATCGTCAGATTGTCCCATACACAGTACAACATGACGATAGTATCAAAATAAATTTTAATAAATATTTGGAACACACTAATAAACTTAAACGAATAATCAAATTAATCACAGCGAGAAATAATTAAAAAAAAAAAAAATTTTAAATAAATTTTTAGAAAAATAAAATTTTTAAAAAGATTTTTATCTTGTTACACCAAAGAAGTATAACTTCTAACGCGTGTACATAAGTACACACACACTTTTTTTTTCTCTTCAATCAAATATTAGAAAATAGCTTGTATTTAATATTTGAATTGCCAAGATTTTATTTTCAATGATCCAATCTAAAGATATCATACTTACTGTATAAAACTTTTTTTTAGAACCTCCCGGAGATTCGCTACAGCATCTTTAAGAATCATTATTTTACCATAAAAAAAAAATTTTAAATCAAGTTGAGAGTTTTCACAGTAAACTTATCAGTTTTCATGTGTTGATAAAATAAATTATTTCCAGAAAAATAAATAAAATGATTCTTTTTCATACCCCTTTAAATAGAAATAATCTTAATTCAAAAAAAATATTTCGAAAACAACGGGTTGTCTTGCTTTAAGAACTTCTTATAAAATTTGTAAATTCAAGTTTCATTAAGTATCTAAGATAATATAATTACGGGTACCCTGGGATTCTGTGAGTAATTGAAATGTAGCTAAAACCGATCATCGATTAACTGTCGAGACATTGAAAGACATGCAAAAGTAGACAGATGACAAAATATTGATTGTAGAATCCATGAGATTTGAATTATTACTGTTATATTATTAATTTACTTTCATTTCATAGATAAAAAATTCCATTAATTTATATAAAAAATTCATTCTGAAATTATTTTAATGATGAATACGATAGATATTAAGCCATAGAATATCTATGGCTAGGTTACCCAGTCTTGATCCAAGGCTGGGTTCTTTTGCCTCGGCCATTCTATGGCGAACCAGTCTTGGCCCAACGCTAGGTTCTCTTGCCTCGGCCATTCTATGGCGATAGATATTAATCTTTAAAAAAGGTTAAATGATATATAATTTATTTGCTCTATATTTATTTTTTGATTCAGCTACAAACCAATATTCTAACCAATAATAAAATATTTAAGAAATAATGGTGATGCCAATTTTTTGTGAAATTAGATTAAGCAGAAAAATTAGTTTTGAGCTTTAGAACAAAGAATATTTGGGTAATTTTTATATTGTTTTGGGTAATAAAAAATTAAAAAATAAAATGTTTTTTTAATTTCTTCTTTCCCAAATTATTCTATTTTACTGTGGATCTATGATCATAATCATAAAAATTTGTAAAAATAAAATTTCAAATTAGTTTTAAAACTTTTAATAATAACTAACAACCTGCAGTCACTATGTGACTGCCAAGATTCATGGATTTACAATAAGAAAACTTTGGCTTAATGATTTTTAGTAGATTTTATAAAAATCTAACTATTGCAGCCGTCCTCATGGCGCAACTTTGAAAAAATTCTGCATTTTCTGACTCAGTTTGTCGAGCTGAGTCAGAAAATATATATAGTTCAAAAGTTTATATATGTATGTATGTATATATATATATATATATATATATATATATATATATATATATATATATATA